TCTGAGAGGTCAAGGAGCACAAGGATAGAGGAGAGTGCTCCATCCCTGGCCTGCCAGAGATCATCAGTCAGCGCGACCAAAGCAGTTTCGGTGGAGTATCCAGGCCTGAAAGAGAAGCACAGATGGTTAAATTGACTTTTTTATCCAAAGAAGAGAATATATTTAATTTTGTTTCTATTTGGAAATTGCTTCCGGATTTTATGTTTGCACTGGGGGGGAAAAAGAAACTTTGATTTTGTATCTGCTGTTTAGATAGGTCTGTTGCTATAGAAATGCCTAGTGTATATTGTTGTGTAAAAGTAAAAAGTTGAGTTTGTAATGTTACCTTCTACTATGCTAAAGAGAGTTGGAAGTCGGTGTCTTTTTCTTTCCTTTTTCCTCTTTACACCATGTTTTCTCCTTTCTTCTTTTTCTCTTCCCTTCAGTTTTCTATTACATTTTAAAATTTCTCTTTGTATTTTATACTTCAGTAAACTAATAAAAATGTATTATAACAAAAACCCAGCAATCTTTGTATCTACTGCTTTAAGAGAGCACTCTTAAGAACAAACAGGGAGACAGGATCTATTGTTGAGTAATTAATAGCCTTAAACTTTTGTCTCTGAAAATGAGTGATGAGTTTGATAATAGTTTCCTTCTTGTATTATTTGTGCTGTACTCTGGAAAAAATCTGTTGTTACAGTTAATTCAATTCAAACCACTAAATACATGTAGATCACATTCATTTTTTTCTTCTTGCAGGTTCCTTGGCTCCATATGCTCTATGCATCTATTGGTGCAATCGCTTTCACCCTGGTTAGTAGGAACTTGCCTTCTGTTGACTTAGTTATCCATCAGTGGTGGGTTGCAGGCGGTACCCCCCGATATGCACATACCAGTGCCTGCCAGAAGCAGCAGCCACCATACCGGAACGGTGCTTTGGAGGGCCTGCCCGCCCTCGTTCCTTACCTGTATTTGAAGGAAATGGGCCATTTGTGCCTGCGTGACACTCCGCCGAGCAGCTGGAGTGTCGCAGGCAGTGGGTATGCATACGTGCTCAGCGCACATGCCTGTGGTACATGCCCGGCTCCCGTTGTAGTGTACCAGTTGCAATGGGAGCCGAAACCCACTACTGTTACCCATCCTCTGTCACACAAAATAAAAATTAAGCAAAATATGTGCAAAACTAGAATTATAATTAAAATCATAATGGAGAAAAGGAGACAGGGATTTTGAATAATGGAATGAATCAATATGCTGTGATTACAAATAGAACTGGAATAATTTTCTTTTATTACTCTTTGCTGCATCTACTCTTTGCTGTGTAGATTAAATCCAAGTGCCGGAATAGTAAATTCTGGGTTTATTTTTACATGATTCTATTTTTGGCTTCAGAATTATACTATTCCCAAGTGTCTTTTGAAAATATTTTTATCCAGTTGTAACTTTCCTGTTGTCTTTAAAGGAATTCATGCTTGTTTTGTTTCAATTAAATTTTGTTTGTTTGTTTTGAGCATTTTGTAAAAACTTGCATTTGAAATTTGGAGGAATGGGATGGGGATGCAGAAGGGAAATGGCTCTTCTTTAAAATTGAATGGAAGTAAATATGGAGAGAGAGAAGAACTTTTGAAAACTCTTGGATAGATTTAGGCATCTGCCCTTGCCATCCTGCATCCTTTCTCCTTTTGACCTAAAGATATTGGGGGGGGGGGGGGTGTTCCTTCTTTCGTGATGCAGCTCTTGGCAAGGAGAATGTTTTTTTTATTGTTGAATAATTTGTTGCCCCTTATAACTAACTGTTACCTTGTGGCTTTTTACAGTTTCTTGCCTATGACACTCAATTGGTTTTGGGCAACAGGAAGCATACCATCAGCCCTGAGGAGTACGTCTATGGAGCCCTCAAGATCTACACAGACATTGTTTATATCTTCACCTTCCTCTTGCAGATTGTGGGCAGGAGCGATTAGATGGATGAAACTATTTAAGACTTTTGACAATCTTCCCCAGAGATCAGGAAGTAACACCTTTCTGGCTCTAATGTACTGTTATGTGCTTGCCTGCAGTCCATGTATAAATGCCAAGAAAGGATTCACAGAGCGGACCCAGAAACATAATGAGGAACCATATATTGTATTCAGTGAGATATGGATCTTAATCTTTTTGTTTTGCTTCTGCATTTCCACATTTCCACATTTAACTTGTGCCCGGGAATAATGAATGTAGTATGTATTACCACTCTGATATGATGTATTGCAGTCTTTCAACTTACCCATTTATTTGTATTTTTGTCAGCCTTTAAGGTGCAGACGATTCTTCTAATTAAAGAAAAAACCTATTGTTACAAGGCTCTATTACATAAGTGCAAATAAAAAAATATATTTTTGAATTAGGCTTTTGTGTATTTATGTAAGGAATCATCTGAATTATCTGAAGGAGAGGTTTATTTGCCTTGCCTTGAAGGAGGAATTTACTGTGTGATTGGAAACCAATAACCAAGCTTATTGAAGTCCTTATTCACAGTTTCAGTCGCATTCAAGACACAATGAGTATAGCCACTCCTTTGTCAGCTTATATGGCAACATTAAAAACTGAGGGAATTGGAACAAGCAGACATAGCCCAATGTCTTTTAGGCAGATTTAAATTTTTGCTAAGGCATATTCCTGATTACCTATGGTTTAGCTTTGTTTAGTGCTGAGCATAATTCTTAAACTACGGGTCCTTTTTTTACTAGAAAAACCTATTTTGGCCAAATTTCCTCTCCCGCCCCCCATCTTTCTCTCATTCCTTCCTTCCTTCCTTCCTTCCTTCCTTCCTTCCTTCCTTCCTTCCTTCCTTCCTTCCTTCCTTCCTTCCTTTACTTCTTCATTGTTCGATATGGTGCTTGCTATCAACTTCCAGAGTCATCTGGCAGGGTTCTCAGTCTACTTGTCTCACCTTGATTAGCAATGTGGATTGTAACCCAAAGAAATAAGGATGTGGGCAAACAGTATCATCATGCAAAGAGATGGGCTATTCAGGAGATGGTTCCAACACTCCTCCAAAATCTGGAACTAACATTAGTAACTGGATTTTAAGAGAGACATCTAAAATGATTCTCACTGGGATGCATATCATAATCATAAATGTGTGGTATGTCATTTTCTCAAACAATAGGACAACTTGCAAGTTTCCACTAAATGCTAAGATTAGTAGAAGACAGTTGTTGCAATTACATTTTTTGGATACATCAAGGGGTTTTCTGACCAGCAAATTACTGCATCAAGTTTTGACTTTTTGACTTTAGATAAATCTTTGAAAATATAGAGGGATAAATGTGGAATAAAAAGCAAGGGCAATGGAGAACAAAACCCAAAGTCTTTAATAATTGTTTCAGTTTGTAGGTTGATTAGAGGATTTAAGCACATGCAATATAATTCTTTTAACTTGACAATTTACCATCGGCTATGTTAAATTTGTATTAAACCCATTTTGCTAAGCAACACATTTACTTTTTTTATCCTTTCCACTTCATCCCTACCTAACTTGGCTTTTAAGATGTTTAAACTGGAATTTGGATGATTTGAGATTTGGACTACAGTACTTCATAACCATGAGCTCACTGTGGGGCCCAGTCATTCTGCCTGCCCCAAAAAACTTCAGATCTGAAGAAAACCCTACCAATACAATACAAAGAAGCTAGAGCCTAGCTAACTCCTTCCTATACACTGTATACTATAGTATACAGTATAGATATAGCAATGACTTTAGTCAAACTTTTATCACAAAATAATTGTTTCTAGGGACAGAGTAACAGGAAACCCCATCTATACTTGTGGTAAAATTATAAATAGTAAGAAATGAGGGATACATGATGATAGAGAATATGAATGAAGGGTCTTCAGAAAGTACAAAGCTGCCAGAGGAAATAGCTAGCTAAAGTGCAGCAGTAAATAATTAGCATAACAGGAAAGAAACTACAACTCCCAAGAACAAATAGCATAACTACCAGAAGGGGCTTCAGAGTGAGGAATAGAAACATTTGAGCTGCAAAATAACTGCCAGAGCATATAAATTATGGCAAACATCTGATATTCTAAAAAATAGGCAGTTCTTCTAAGGAGTAAGAAGTGAGTCACAGTAGTAATCAAAGCACAACCTTAAAATATTGGCACGCCTTGCATAAATTGATAATTATAATGCACATGTGATGTAGCAGGTTTAGGGAGGGTCTCAGGAAACATGTAGGAGACAGTCGGAAAAGAATATAACCTCATAGTACCTCAGCCAATGGGGAACCGGGGGGGGGGGATGGACAGCCAGTGTAGGGAATGTATAAAGATGTTGATTTGAGATGAACTTTGGAGAGAACCAAGTTATGACAGCTTCTCCCTGCTTACCACAATAAACAAAACAGTCTTCAATGTGTCTTGGCTGGTTATTGGCCAGGCAAATTTGCCATTTGTTGCAAAGTAAAGTAGTTGAGAGCATAACATTGAGGTACTCCATCATTTAGGCTTAAGACATCAAATGGCTATAATAAAACAGTGTACGCATGTAGGTAGTTCACAGTTGAAATGTTGAGATTTGGGTGTTCCTTGCTTACTTTTTTCCTTGCCAATATTTAACGGCCAAAACTAGGGAATATCAGTGCTTTGCAGGAACAACCACAGATCACACATACAGGCAGGCTAATCAGTAATAGGCATAAAACAATTCTGATTAAGATACTAAGTCAAACAGATTGGCAATGAATGATTGGAAAGAAGAAAACTGAACTGAGTAAAACGTCAACATCCCAGGTCTAACAGTTGTTGCAATCGTTCTGCATTGCTTACACTATCTTTTGATTTAAGCCATTTGGAATCTTAAGGCTAAATATCTCAAGAATCCTTAATATCTCTTGGCCTCAACACTGCACAGAATCGGGTGCAGCCTCACAATTCTTTGTTCCGAAATCCTATTGAATAGGAGCTTGCAACCATTACTTTCGCCTCTTAGAGGCACTGGAGTTGCATCTCGGGGTTTCGCTTTCTCTCTCCCCCACCCCAAAGAAAAGCAATAGGAAGTTGATCGAAAAGTCCCTTGAGCGGGGTTCCCCACGCAGGCATATTTTTGCTCCCCAGTTGTCTGAATTCCACCAATCCACGATCGACCGCAATTTAAAAGCAGCAAAGAGCTTCCGTGGAGGCCTGGAGGAAGGGACGCGCCGCGGGTAAGGATTCTGGTAAGGAATCATCCAAACAAAGGTTACTATGCCTAGGAGGAGGAGGAGGATGGGAGCCTTTCGCCTCGGCGTGAAGAGCTGGCTCTTTACTTCTTATCTGGGATTCGAGAACGATCCCAGAGTTCGATCAGGTTCGATTCCACGGGGGTAGCAACTAGGCTGCCGTTACTGGAGCTTCGCAAGTAAACAGACCGTACTCGGTGTCCGTGCGCGATCCCTTTAGACTGGGTGGTACGTAACTTATCCTGCGGAGCGGGGTAAGAGGTGGCAGAAGTTGCCTCATGTAACGGATGCAACTTGAATTGGGAGCCTACGGTGGATTCAGTATTGGGCTCCGTCGCTCTTTTCTCGCGGTGCAGTCCGTTAAATTAAAGATTAGATAGGGATGGAGGAGTTCACTCAAAAGGCATCTTGTCTTTCCCTCTGTAACAAATGTTGAACTTGGGGAAAGGAAGGAGGGGAGGGAAGAAGTAGAGTGAGAGAAAAAAGGAAAGAGAACCAACAGGAAGGAAATTCTGGTAAAATACCACTAATGATTTACAGCAATTGCATGATAACCACTGGTTAGCAAAGTTAGATGTGGTGGTAGCAAAAAAAAGGTGGGGAGGGGGAGTCAGGCTTAGTCATGTTAGACTTGCATTAGGTTGTCCCAGGGACTCCTTGGATAAAGGAACACAACATTGTTGATTCTCAACACAAGGATGGGTAGAACTCACAGGCTAAGAGATGGTTCCCTATAGAACATTATACAGTGCCAACAGATTTTGGGTCCTAACTTTGAAATCTTTTATCAGAAGATGTTTAAATCTGATACTTTGACAGCTTCTTTTAATGAAGTTTATCCCAGATAAATATGAATTATACAAGTGATTGGCCTGTTTCCTTACTGAATCTGATTGTTGGCATACACCTATATATTTTTATTAGAGATCTGAAGTTTAAAATGTAATATTGGTTCCTGTGATGTAATCAGTACAGTAAAGTTTCTTTTTAACAGACATACGCTTGTTTCATGCATTACAGTAATTTTATTCTGGAAGGTTCATGGGATTTTCTAGAAGTTTTTTCGAAAGTGTAAGAGCATAACAGAGTTGGAAGGGACCTTGGAGGTCTTCTAATCCAACCCTCTGCTCAAACAGGAGGCCCTATACCATTTCAGACCAATGGCTGTCCAATCTCTTCTTAAAATACTTCCAGTGTTGGAGTACCCACAACTTCTGGAGGGCAAGATCTTCCACTGAGTAATGAATATGTATATGAATTATCCATCCTTCTGAGGTTGGTAAAATGAGGGCCCAGATTGTTGGGGGCAATATGCTGACTCTGTAAATCACTTAGAGAGGGCTGTAAAGTACTGTGAAGCAGTATATAAGTCTAAGTGCTATAATTGCTATATGAATGGTTTGGAAATTGATAAGAGAGCAGTAGAAACGGATGTTGAACATTCTTATAATTGTCAAGAAACATTCAAAATGTAAGTCTGGAAAGTCCTGCATTTGTGATCATATCACAGCTGCAGATTTTACAACAGAGATCCCTCCAATGACACTTTCTCTTTCTCACTTGTGTGATCTGATATTTATGTGTGGTCAATTTCAGGAGGTAAAGCTTATTGGGTTCAATCCTTATATCTAAAGTAGTTGTTACCCAAGGGGAAGCATGACGAACAAAAATCTGAAATTTGGGTGTATGCTTCATTTTTACTTTTGCTTCCTTAAAATGGAGTTAGAAACATTCTAACCCACAAGTATGGTGGGGGAGGTTTCCTCAGTTGCTGTGATTTCATCTTTTTATGGCAAGTAGACAATAGGTCACAAATAACTGAAAATAAGTGAATGTACTGAATAGATACTCATATTTATTTAACTGGCCTGTTTTTCTTTCTTTTCATTTCTAATTGGACATTAACATACCTATTTCTAGGTGGTTAATAGCTTCCAAATGTGCTCTCCATAGAGGCATTTGTATCTATTTTTTCCTCTCACCTTCACAAATGTTCATACTGTATTATATATCATATTTCCATAGTAATGTTTTAAATTGCTGTTTATTGCAAACCTCCTAGAATTCAGTAGAGAATTGGTGGGATAAACATGTTAAATACATAATACCAGTTGGTAAGATACAGACATTTGCACTATGCAGCAGTGAGTTCTGAAAACATATATTTAAATACTACCTAGAAGCCTATATGTCCCTTTTAAGGACAGGCAGAAAATAGTTGGTAACCTGTTGATCAATTTTAAAGTAATTGACAATGGTTTCTGAGTTATCTAGTAATGTGAACAACCCCAAACTTCCTGCTTTCAACCTTGGGAGAATTTAATATAAAGAGACTTGTGATGGTTTTGCACTAATCAAAAATATTCAATATCAAAATATTCTCTTAGATTCTCAGTTCCATATTTCTTACACTTACCTGTCTGCCTCAGCTCATTGTTTAGTTCAACGTTATTTATATAAATGGAAGTTTTTTCCACTTAGCAACAAATTGCAAACTAGATCTCATAAGCAGAAATTTGATTTTGTCACATACCAGTTTTGTAGACAAGCGTGAAATGAAATATTGTCAAAAATATTGATGATAGCAAACATTCTGTTCATTATTGTTCTAAGCAAACAGTCTTCTCTGCTTATTTTTGCAAGCAAAGTTCAAACTCACATTTATCATCTCTTATCCTTAGTCATTATTTTTATTTCTTGCAAACTATTTGGGGGAGGTTATTTTTTTATTTCTTGCAAACTATTTGGGGGATGCTAATACAAGCCAAATGCAGTATTAGGTTTTAGTTCACTTTGCTGCTTGGTATTGTTGTCCTTTTTTTTTGTATTGAAATTTTATTCTCAGATTTTATGTGTTTTAAAGAAGCCATTCAAAATATTAACCACATCAGTTAGCTAGCTTCCTTGGGCATACTTGCATCCTCACACATTATCTCTAGGCTTGGACAACGTTACCTTAGACTAAAGGTAGTAGTGAAAATCCAGCCATTACCGTGACATAAACCATTGCTTTTAAGGTGTAAAAATAATTATTATTTGTTTGGACATAGCATTTTACAGGAATGAACATGAACATGAATTTAGTCTATGTTTCATATACTGTGTGTGTACATTTTTGTGTATGGGCATGTATCTGTTTTAAGCATCTTAAACTTCACTTATTTTCCCAGGTACTGTACATTAGCCAGGGACAACATGGAAATTCTTGATCCTCCACCCCCCTATGATGACAAGAGGTCTGGAGCTGAAGGTGGGAGAACACAATCAGCACAGTCAATTTACATGAAAAGGATGTTAAATGAAAATATTTTAAAGGGTTAAGAGATAGGAGAAACATGCCGGTAGGAAAACTGTGACTTAGGACTGTAAATAGAGGGCCAAACTAGACAGGAAGTGTTAAATGCATATTTTTATTTAGAATTGAGATGAGGCTGTTACTGAGGTTTCAGTGTACTAATCCGTGGATAATCAATTATTTTAAAAAGGAGTAGGTTCAGCCATTGTCGTAATTTGTATCCAGATAAATACATAAAGCACTGCTACAATCATGCCTAGGAGATCTACTATGGAACCATCCTATCACAACTACAATTGCCATTTTTTATCATAGATAGGGTTCATCAATGTTGCCCTTTTTCCTCCTCTCTTAACAGGTGATAGAATTTGCGAGATGGAAGAAGGGGACCTCCGAATTGCATATTGGGAGGAAAAAAATGTTAGGCAAGCGTTCATTCGCAAGGTAAGTCTGACACCAGCCCTCTGACTTAGGCCAGAGCAGGCAATCAACTATGAGATTGGCTAAAATAACAGAATTTTACAAATCTGCTTTTCCTGCTTTTTATACCGTAATCCATTGAATGGAGGAGGTGTCTGCCTGAAGAACTTTCAAATGTTAGTGCATTATTCTGGGCTTAAAAAATGTTTCAAACCCTTTTGCTTAGGCAATAGCTCCTGTTTATTTCCCTCAGGTAGTCTTCCTTACATTCTACGTATATTTATGCAAACTACAGAATAGAGCTGAACAACGTACGGCCCACCAAGCAGCCTTGTGTGATCTGCTAGTATTTTTTTTAGTCAGTAATTTTGCCCCAAAGATGTGTACCTAAGTGCTTCCAGTGCCTTGATGTTGCCACTCTGCTAATAGCTAAACAGCTGACTGACGCACCGGGTATTTCTCACTTGAGAAAACATATGGCAAGATTAAAATATTCCATATAATTCAGCAAAAGGCTTTCATTCTTGTACCAATTCTTGCTACACTGCTGCGGGAGCATCTGAATCTGGTCACCCACAACTTTGTTTTGGGTCTTTGTTTTGCATTTTGAATTCGCATCTCTTTTGTCTTCACAAACAGGTTTACAGCATCATCACCCTTCAGTTACTACTGACTGTGGCAATTGTTGCTATCTTCACCTTTGTGTAAGTGTTCATGGGTCCCAGAAAGACAAAGCCATGTGGGTGGACATGGGACTGAGAACGTGTGATGAGCAATGACTAGTGATACTCCTCCAGACTTGTATCTGTCAGGCTCAAACACAGAGAAGGGATGCATCTTTCCTCCATTTTTGGCTTCCCCCTTCCCCTTTATCTTACTACTGTGTCTGATTGTATGAAAATAAATTATATTAACTCCAGGGGAGCAGGGGGAACCTTAGCTCCTGATGCTCCAAAGCCTTCTGAAGCTTGCCATGTTATCAAAGAAGCAATGGTGATAGCAGTAGCAGTTATATACCGCCTCACAGTGCTTTTACAGCCCTCTCTAAGTGGTTTACAGAGTCAGCATATTGCCCCCAACAATCTGGCTTCTCATTTTACCGACTTTGGAAGGATGGAAGGCTGAGTCAACCTTGAGCCTGGTGAGATTCCATCTGCCAAATTGCAGGCAGCCGGCAGTCAACAGAAGTAGCCTGCAGTACTGCACTCTAACCACTGTGCCACCACAGCTTATCATTGTATGATGCTTTCAGTGGCAGACTTCCCTCTCTATTTTTGGACAATAGATTTTTTTAGATTCCTGCAAAGATTATTATTTCTGAGATGTTCTAAAGATAGGGATTAGAATTTGTTTCTTTACTTTTATTTGGGTTTTTTAAAATCCCACCTTTATTGTTTTATAAATAACTCAAGGTAGCAAACATACCTAATGCCCCTTCTTCTTCCTATTTTCCTTATAACAATAACCCAGTGAGGTGGGTTGGTCTGACTGGCCCAAGGTCACCCATCTGGCTTAGATGGCCTAAAGCAGGACTAGAACCCTCTATGGACTAGAAGAGCCATTGGTATATACAGTGCATTCAAGCAACAGTGAAGAAATGTACTTCCCTTTGGCTCCTTTTTATTCATATACGAGAAGCTTATAGACATGCAAAAATGTAGGTAAACTTGGTAAGGAAATATCTATTTGCTTGAAGGTCTCTTCTTTGCATTAGGTATATGTTTCAGCAATTGCATAGGAAAAATCCATAGTGAATACAGGCTAATCAGCAGCTAGATACAAGCCAAGTTCTGGGTGTAGTCCAGTTAATGGGTAAGTTATTAGTGTTCTTGACCACAAAAGGGAAAATGAAACTGTAAAATAATCTTAATGGAATTTTGGGCTAATTTAGGTCAAAAGTGGTTGACAGTCCAGTAATACTTGATCTCATGTCATTCTTCTCCACAGGACTCCTGTGAACACTTATGTGATCAATCACATTCCAATCTATTATATATCTTAGTAAGTATTAGTCAAAATGTCATTGGCGATCTATTTCTTTGCTGTAATCTTCCCTAACTTAGTGCCTTTTACATATATTGATAATACAGTCAAAGAACTCCAAGCCATAATGGAAAGTACAGGTAGTCCTCAAATTATGACTGTTCATTCATCAACTGTTCAAAATTATAATGGTGCTGAACACGGGGACGTATAACTTTCCACATGAATTTACAGCCATTGCAGCTGCCCTGCAGTCATATGATTGTGATCTGGACTCTTGACAACCTATTTGCATTTAAAATGGGTTGGCAAGTCCTCCATCATATACTTGCCATTTGCAATTTTCCCTGTTGACTTCTTCAGAAAGCAGCAAGGAAGCTGGCAAGGAAGATGGCAAGCTGCTGCCACAGGACATCTTCTGGTTTCTGGGGGTTGACTGGAAAAGGTCCATCAGGATCCTTCAGGATCTTTTTTTCAGGGAACATCTTGGAAAGTGGAAGGGCTTTCTGCCAGATTGATTTCACCCCACGTGGGGTGGAATGCCTCTGCAAAGCAGCCCTTCTCAAAGAAGATGATTGGAATCGTTCATGGTGAAAGCAATAGCAATAGCAGTTAGACTAACATACCAGTTCATACTGCTTTACAGCCCCTCTCTAAGAGGTTTACAGAGTCAGCATATTGGTCCTAACAATCTGAGCCCTCATTTTACCAACCTTGGAAGGATGGAAGGCTGAGTCAATTTTGAGCTGGTCAGAATCAGACTGCTGGCAGTTGGCAGAATTAGCCTGCAGTACTGCATTCTAACCACTGTGCCACCACAGCCAAGAATAATTTTAGCCTGGGGTGGTTGTGGGGAGGCTGGCTGCAAACACCTCATGCTTCAAAGACTCCCATGTTAAAATCCCTCTTGACTTTCACCATGGACTTTTGCAGCCATAATTTTTGAGAGTGACGGCTGCCTGTCAGATAGATTTCATTGCTCCAATTCAGTGCAAGAATTCCCTTCTCTGCACAAAGGGGACCCTCCTCCTTCTATTGGCAGGCAACTCTTTCCCTCACTGTTTAATGACCCACACAGTTGCCTAATGATTGCACCTGGGAGAGCCAGGATACCAGTCACTGAGCTAAACGATCATGTGGGTACCTCGCTTAATGATCCCCATGACTTACAGCTACAACGGGCATGCTCTATTATAGTTGTAAGACAAGAACTTCTTGTACCATAATGAATACTTGACAAATTGTATCCTTTAAGATTCTCTGCTCTACTCTGACTTCCTTCACCACCGCTTGTAAGTACATTTGATATCACTTTTCAGAGGAAATACTGTATTTTTCAGAGTATAAGACATACCTTTCTCCCCCCCACCCAAAAGAGGGTGAAAATCTGGATGCGTCTTATACACTGAATACAGCATTTTTGGCCTCCCAAATCCCCACCCCCCTTCACAAAAATGGACATGCAGAGGGTTTGGGAGGCCTGCAAAGAGCTCCTGGGGGCTGGGGAGGGCAAAAATGAGTGGAAAATGGACTGTTTTTTCCTCATTTTTTGCTCCCAGGAGTACTCTACAAGCTTCCTAAAGGCTATGCATGACCTTATTTTGGCCAAAAAATGCGCCCATTTTCATGAAAGACAGGCTGCTTTTTACTCATATTTGCTCCCCCCCCCCCCGAAGCCCCCAGGAGCACTTTGCAGGCCTCTTAAACTCTCTGCCCCATTTTTCACAAACAATGAGGAGTGCAGAGGGTTTGGGAGGTCTGCAGAGTGCAAAAACTTTTTTTTTAATTTTACCTCTTCAATATCATGGAGCATCTTATACTCCGGTGCGTCTTATACTCCGAAAAATATAGTATGCCCTACCTTCTTAATTTGGCATAGTCTCATAAAATCTCTGATAAAACTGTAATATATATGTTCAATTGTATGGAGTAAAGGACTTTCATTGAAAAAAAGTTTACTAAATGTAAGAGGGCAGCTTGCTATTTGCAATAATTTGTCTTTTTCTATCTTCCCAGTGCTGTATTTTTGATTTGTTACCTGGTGCTGGTGTTTTGTCAAAAGATCCAGTAAGTATCCCTCACAGGTACCATCTGTGATTTTATGATGAATCACATTCTAAATCTGCTGGGAATTCTAGAATGAAAGATAGAGAAATGGTTTAAAAGGATGGCATTCTGGCTGTGGAAATACAGCCTTGATAGATTATTTCTACCCCCCTCCCCCCCTCCTTTTTTTTGCTCTGCAGTAGAAACGAGAGATGTAAAAAAATAAACAAAGGTACAGTAGTCCTCGACTTACAACCACAATTGAGCCCAAAATTTATGTTGCTAAGTGAGGAATTTCTTGAGTTTTGCTCAAGTTTTATGACTTTTCTTGCTACGTTTTTCAAGCCAATCGCTGCAGTTGTTAAATTAATAACACCGTTGTTAAGTGAATCTGGTTTCCCCATTGACTTTGCTTGCCAGTAGGTCCCAAAAGATGATCACATGGATCCAGGATACTGCAACTCCCATAAATATATAAACCAATTGTCAAGCATCTGAATGTAAATCATGGGGGCCTGGGGATGCTGCAACAGTCATAAATGTAAAAAAAGGTCATAAGTCACTTTTTTCAGTGCTGTTGTAACTTTGAATGTTGTAAGTCGAGGACTACTTGCAATGCAAATTTTGTCTATAGGATGGTTATACACTAGTATTGCAATGAAGGTGCACTGTCGAAACCCAGCGATCCAAAAGACTTCAGGAAAAAAAGTTCCGTATTCAGAGGAACTGTAGTGTAAAACAACTTTCTATCATAGGGAATCACCTATATAATCCTTTTAAATATTGTGTTCCTCTGAAAATACGACCTATCCTGAAAATAAGTCCTACCCTATTTTCTGTATGCACCTAATATAAGCCCTACCCCCCAAATAAGCCCTAAGTGTAAGGGGTGGGCCTGGCCAGCATAGGAGGTGGCAAGCGTGCAGGGACCAGCGATGTCTGGTAGCAGCTGCAGCCTGCACAGCACAGGTGAGTTGAGTACATGTGCAAGCAGAAGCAGAGGCAGGCCATCCAGATGTGCTGCGCAGGCTGCGGGAAAGCCGAGTGGCGGTGGGCTGATCTTTGCACTTCTTGACTTGCCTGCAACTGACACAGCCCATTGGGATCACCTGCTTTACGCTTCATGCGCAGCCTGAGTGCTCTGACCAAGGGACCAGCGGGCTGCGGCTGCTGCCGAATACCGTTGGTCTTTAGTAGGGAAGCCGTTAACCTTTTTTTCTAGATGACTTTAAAAGATTTTCATTCTATTACTTTTTCCGCCTATTGTTCCTTTTAGTTTTTATAGTTTCTGTGCAGGCTTTTTAAATATTTTTTTTAATTGTTTGTATCCTTTAACAGCTCAAGGTGGCAAACATATCCAGCACACCTTCCTCATCCTATTATCCCACAACAATAACCCAGTAAAGTCAGGATGCAGAATATTTTTCAGGTTAACATTTTAAAGTTACAGTGGCTTTTCTTATGAATGATGAAGCCAGAAATCAAAACGTAGCTTTTTAAAATCTTGGTTTGGGAGCTTTCTGCTGCTAAATAACTTACCAATTTTGCTCTGAAGAAGCTTCTAATAGAATTGTCCTGCTAAGGAAACTGCTTGGAATAGAATAGAACATGTGGAAGTCTGGTATAACTTTGAAAACATTTTACCAAAATATACTTTTCCTTAAAGTGGGACCATTTGTATGGGCACTGACTCATTCTTTGGTCTTTTTCAGGAGACGATATCCATGGAACATAATCCTTATGACAATTTTTGTAAGTGGTAGATTGATGTTACAGGTTGGGCTAGATTTAGTAGATATGATATCCCTAACATGGGGAGATCTGAATTATTGGCAAAAGAGCCTATGATAGGAATTAAAGGGTGAATTATTATATTTGCATTATTACAAAATATTCAAGTAAAAAATAATTTCAGATTATTATAACACTTGGCAGGAAAATGATTTCATTGCCTCCAAACTATGAATGTTTCCTTACATTCAGAGAAATTATCTATCTAAACAGTGTGTCTTTCTCTTTTAAACAAATACATTGACAAAGTTTGTTATTGAGGGGGAAAATGGCACAATCTAATGCTAACAATTTGGAATTGGGTTAAACTGGAACACCTAGGCCGTTAACCAGTACAAGTTTTAGAAATCATCTAATATCTGTACAGAAAGATCAGTATTAATTGCCAGTTGTTAACTGCCCAATTTAAGGTATTAATATTAATGGTATATGACCTAATTAAGAATAACCATTTCTTTCATTATGGGAGAATGGGAGATGCCTCGGGGTCCCTGGTCTAGAATACATATAGACTTCGCTGGCCCCTTTCACGGCCAGACTTTCCTTATAGTTGTGGACGCGTACTCTCGATGGGTGGAAGTATTGCTCATGCACTCCACCACATCTGACAGTACTGTGCGAGCCTTGCGACGATTGTTCGCAACCCACGGGTTGCCGGACACAGTAGTGTCCGACAACGGCCCGCAATTCACGTCTACAACGTTCCAAACATACCTGGCCGAGCAAGGGGTCCGCCACGCGCTGGTTGCCCCTTACCACCCGGCCAGCAATGGCCGAGCGGAAAGGGCGGTTAGATCTGCCAAGGAGGCTTTGGGCCGTCTAAACCGTGGAGACTGG